CAGGAGATCCAAGCTGAGCAAAGATTATGCTGAGGCAGGGGTACATTCATCCTCGTCTGTGTTTGTTATTAAATCTGCAGACTTGCTGCTTTACTGTGAGCTCCCTGACAGCGCATCACTTCTTGCTTGTACTGCAGTCACATTGTCCTCAATGAGCACAAGATGATTCTGCAGTCAATGGGGACAGTTTCCACTGAAGTAACTAAAAAGTAGTTCTTTTAGTTACTTCTGAGAAAGGGGGAAACAAAGTATTACTGTTTAGAATGTATAATACTGTGGTAGCTAACCTACTTTTGAGCCTTGGAACTATAAATGTAAGCAATTACTTTTTAAAGGTAACCTTCAAGCTACGAAATGGATGTTAGGTATGCTGCAAGGGAAAAAGCCCTGGGCCATCTTCCAAAAAGTACTGACAGAAATCCCTTAGTAATAAGATTGATTTCTTTGCCTCATGCTGGAGCACTTCTCCACTTTTTGGGTATGTGTGTGTGTGTGTATGTTTAGCTTTTTATCTACAGCTGCCTTTAATCCCCATTTGTCCACTTTGGGATTGGAAAGGCATTGCTTGTAAGTTTCTCTTCTGCTCACAGTTGTCAGGATCCAAGCTGTTACATCTGGGTCTCATTTCTCTATCTATAGAATAGGAGGAACAGGGTCCCCTTGAGGGGGAAACATAAATGAGGACAGGAAAAGCATTTGGCACATTAGAAGAGCTGCACATGGTATAAATAATGATTAGAAGTCTGCCTCCTTTTATGTTTCTTTATACCCGGGCAGGATTGGCACTTTGTACCTGCTGCTTCTCTAAGGAGAAAGCATGGGGTTCCAACTTATTTCCAATAGCAATGATAATTAATTCTGCAGTGGGTTTCTGCAATGCCTCCACCCACTTGTATGAACTGCCTTCCTCCTTGCATTCACCCTCCCGTGGTGCTTTTAAATTAATAGGCATCTTCTGCAAAGACAGAAGAGTGAATCTCTCTCTTTTCTCTCTCTCTATCTTCACTTCCAATTACAGATGGCAATTGAGAAAGTATCTTGGCACCTGCTGCCTTCCAAGGGTTTTGGGGCTGTACTCTTAAAAAACAGTGAGGAAAGATGCTTGGATTTGGAAGCTGCAGAGTTATGGTTGTACTTTCAAAGGTTTTCACTCTCAGCATTAACTTCTCAGTGCAAATTAAGTGAGGAGGAAACCACCACAATACAACACCACTCTGCTGGTCACTATTATTCTCTTTCTTTCTCTCTCCTGCCTTTTCTTCAAGCTCTAGGCAGCACACATAACTGGTCTCCTCCTCCTCTTCCTCCTCCTTCTTCATCACCACAATCACTACCACATTTTAACTTCACAAGAACCTCATAGGTAGCTTGGTATACCTCATAGGTAGCAATGGTATTCCCCATAGTAACCTATGAATGTGAGAGCTGGACCATAAGGAAGGTTGAGCGAAGGAAGATAGAAGCTTTTGAACTGTGGTGCTGGAGGAAAATTCTGAGAGTGCCTTGGACTGCGAGAAGATCCAACTAGTCCATACTTCAGAGAATAAACCCCGATTGCTCATTAGAAGGTAGGATATTATAGGCAAAGATGAAGTACTTTGGCCACACCATGAGAAGACAGGAAAGCTAGGAGAAGACAATAATGCTGAGGAAAATGGAAGGAAAAAGGAAGATGGGCCGACCAAGGGCAAGATGGATGGATGGATGGATGGTATCCTTGAAGTGACTGGCTTAACTCTGAAGGAGCTGGGGGTGGCCACGGCCAACAGGGAGCTCTGGTGTGGGCTCGTCCATGAGGTCACGAAGAGTTGGAAGCGACTGAATGAATAAACAACAACAATTATAGCTTTAACTTTACCTGCCATGGATTCATCCTGTGGAGTCCAGAAGTTTGTAGTTTGGGGATGCACAGATTTTAGTGTGCAGAAACTACAGTATACAATGTGAAAGGGGTCTGAGCGGGAGAGGGTGACTGGCTCAGTAGGTTCTGTGGGTCTGTTATACTTGAGCTTTTATCCCCCAAGTATTCTAATATGCTTACCACTACACTGCAAGGCCTTTTCCTCTCTGTCTTTCCAAAAAATACAAGAGTACCTTTGCTGATATATGATTCTTCCTAAGAAGGTATCTTAACTTCATCATCTCCTCAGCTAAAGGTGTTGGGTCAAGGCTTCAAATGTCTTTTTCAGCTTTATGGACTATTGCAGCAAAGGAAAAATACTGCAGCCCTGGGAGACCATCATAATCTATAATGCTAGGTAGCAAATATAAAATGCTTTTGAATCCTCAAACCTTTTTGAAACTTTCCTCCTCATATGTGCTTAGCCTATTATTAAAATTTGTCATCTGCATTAACTTGTACCAGAAATTCCTAGTTTAGGTAGTTTATTCAGTGTGTGTTACAACATTTATCTTTGAATACTGTTACAAAACAAAATAAATATTTCAAGTCTCCCTTCCTGGCCTGTGTGTGATATGTTTAGATATATCTTCATTGAACTCCACGTTATTGGTTTTTACATCTAGCTCTCTGGTTTCTCAAAATTATTTCCATTGTGGATTCTGTCAACTAAACAGCTTCATACATTCTGCAGGGTTTAAATGGTCTCCTGTTATATCAATATTCCAATGTACCAGTGAACCATGATTTATCATTATGAGAAGACCTCACATTAATTATGGCTTATGAACAGGCCATCTCCTTCTGCAGTGTTTCTAGAACATGGCCGTACAGCCCAAAAAAACCTACAACAACCCAGTGATTCTGGCCATGAAAACCTTTGACACTACATCCTTCAGCAGTATTTCACTTTTGCCAAAAAGCTAAATTTCCCCCCAAGGCATTCATTTCTGTGGGTGCATCTACACTGCAGAATCAATGCAGTTTGACACCACTTTACGTGACCTGATTCAATTCTATGGGATTTGTCATTTGGTGAAGCATCATCACTTTTCGGCAAAGGTGGCTAAAGGCCTTGTAAAACTACAGCTCCCATGATTACATAACATCATACCATGGCAGTTAAAGTGGTATCAAAACGTGTTGTTTCTACAGTGTACACTGTAAAATATGTATTTTATAGAAATACATTTTAATATGTGAATTTTATAGAATGCTTTAGATGCTTATGTGTTTTTAATTATGTTGTAACCCACCTCATCATCATCATCATCATCATCATCATCATCATCATCATCATTATTATACTTCACAGCCACTGGAGTAAAAGTAAGGTCTGAATCCCATTAGTTAACCCATCGAAACAATTGCATTTAGTGTATGTTGACTTAACATTCTACAATTTATTCAAAGTACTCTAGTTAGGACTAAGTAACAGATTTCCAGCCCATTTACCTCCCAATCCTACCTATGTTTTACATCTACCTTTTTGGTCTGTGTTATCTATTTAGAATCAGAGCTTTAGGGCTGATCAAAGCACAACACTTCCTCTTCTATGCATACTAACAAAACTAGTGTAGTAGGTCTAGTAGTTTACTTACAACTGCCCCAAAAAAGAAACAGTTGCCAATCAGGTGGTGGTGCAAAAAGATCTGTTCCTGCAAGTACACAAACAAATATACAAACACACTTGCCCATCAGTGGCTGTTGCATAAGATCAGGTGGAGTTGTGCCCAGCACAGGCTGGTTGCCATGGCATGGCTAGTAAAAAGCTTAATGAATGAACCTATCCAGTACCTCCAGTTACACCAGTGCAAGTCAGAAATAAAATTTTGGCAGGAAAGCAGGAAGCTAGAAATCTGGCTGGTTTTCTTGCAGCAAGAAAACATGCTTAATGTGCCAATAAACCTAAATGTTCAGTTTATATATTTGGAAGATCAATGAAAAGTCATCTTAATAAGAGATTGTGATCTTGTTAAAACTTCACCAGGTAGTATGAACTCATGGCAAACTAATGAGACAGGTTGGAGGCACAGTAAAAACAAAATTACATGCCTTCTTCTCTCCCAACCAAAGGTTCAAATATGAGTCTTTGGAGCAAACAAAAACTTTGATCCACAGGCTGTCAGGAATGCTATAGCATTTGAGGCACAGTCTGCCATCATAAAAAAAACAAAAGCAGAAATAAAATTAGCCTTGTGGGGGTGAGATGCACCCAATTTCTTCATCTTCAGAGCCTTAACATTTTAATCTCTAAGAGGCATGCACATAGTATCAGTTTGCTTAATTGAATAAGATGCTGCAAAAGAAATGCTGATGATGATTATCTTAACTTCAAATCTGAGCTATGCTAATATATCTCTGTGCCAACTTGTATCAAACTTGTGTAATTAGCTCCCTAGCAATTAGAAATATACTACGATGTGGAACAGTTATATGTGACGACTGAGCTGAAGATCAATTGAACTGCTAAAATTTGAGTCCAGTCTTAGCTTCCATATGAATGGAAGAGTGAATCTAGTCTGAGGTTTAGTCTGGACATGAAAGAAACATTGAAGCCCACCTCATCATACCCCCCCCCCCCCAACTCACACATTTTTGGTATTTTTTAAATTTCTCATTAAAACCCAGAACAGGTTTACTCTCCCACAAAGAAACATAAAGAGTTCTTTCATTTTACCATGTGATACCAGATATTATATTATGCGGGTGCTAGATGGGAGGCAAAATGAAGGGCCCCTAAAAACAAACAAACAAACAAACTCAGAATACAACCAAGCTACAATTCTCTGAGGGGATCCACAGTGTTTGTGTTTTTTAATTTAAACTGAGAGGTTTGACATTACTGCTGCACATTCTTATATTTTCCAAAGTGTGAACCTAGGAGGAAACCTTTTGAGAATTCTTAGTTGGAAATATGGTTTGTGTGATCCTTTTGCTATCAGTCTATAACAGCTCACTATGTTCTGTCTCACTCAATATCTTGCGAACACACAAAGCAAAATGCAGCCAAGTTCCTAGAGCTGAAATGCCACTAGCAACCACAACAAAGCTAAGCTGGCATGCAGTCCCTCTGCATCAGCATGGGCTGGGCACTCACATCAAAGGCTTCTCCAGGCGACTTCCCGGTGACCCAACAATCTCACCCAGCGTGCAGAATGTCTGACCGAGAAAATCCTGATGAAGAAAATGAATACCACAATTAGAAATTAACACAAGCCCATCTTGGTTGTTTCTCCTGGTCTCTGTGAATACTTGAGTTGAAAAGTTATCAGGAAGTCGCTGAGATGATCAGAGAAGTCTGGTATACAAATCATGTTTCCTTTCAGATATGGTTGAACTGTAAGTTGCAGCAGCCTTAGCTAAAATCCATCTCGTATACCATGCTGCTCAGAGTTGTGGTCTTTGATAGCCTCCAGAGGAAAGAGGCCATATCATGATGCAATGCACCAGGATAGAGTGCCTCGGGGCAGAGCTGCACGTCTTATAAGTCCATGTTGCCAACTCCTCTCTTTCTAAAGTAATTGATCTACTCTCCCACCTCTAACACAGTGTAAATGTTGCTGATTGCTTCAGGACCACTTTGGAATTTTTCCACAGGTTTTTACCTACCACATACTGTTGACTAGAGACTGTGCCCATTGGCTTGTGGTGGTCACTTGACAGTCGGGGAGGAGAGAAACAGAAATTTGTGAACATCTATTGCACCCATTTGATAAATGGAAATGCTCTAGAACTGCCTCTTTAGGTCATACAGCTAGGAGGATAGGGAGGGAGACCTTACTTGTGGATGGGCTGAAAGCTGAATCCTTACTTCAAGTCATGCAGCTTGGAGGAGGGATTCCCAGGTTGGCCTTTCAGTTGCAGGTCATTTCGAGCAACCCAGCTTTTGAGTCTTCCTTCGGGCATAAATGTATAACCCAGGAGAAAATCTGGGGGAGTCTCTTGAGGGTTATATGTTAAATAGATTTAGGGTTATAAAAAGTGACCAATTTCAACTCACCCACACCTGGAGAGTTGCATAAAGTATACCCATTAGGAACCTATCTTATAGTAAATTCATCCATTAGATCAGTATTCTCAAATCTGATTGGCAGCATTTGCCAAAGGTTTCAGGCAGGATTGTTTCTTAGCTTTCCCAGAGGCCTGATCCCACTTAGCTTTTAAAATCAGCTGGGACTAAGTGTGTTTAAGATGGTACATTAGAAACACTGAAATAAATAGGAGCTCTCAGGCTCATTTCAATGATTCTATTCTTATTTTAGGACAAATGCTTGATTTCATTCTATATGTCTCGGGAAATGCAACTAACATATTCAGCCTCTCTGTGATTATTTCTTTACATGAGTCAAAATAATGGTTAAGAATATAATAACAATTATAAAGTGGAACAATATTGACAACCTAGAGGGATAATAAATGAATAAGAATGCAAAAACACAGAACTACACAGAATACCACAATTTACAATGAAAATGAAAACATGTATAGAGTACTATCAAAAGTAATACTGCAAGTATAGCAGGAAAATTAAAATGCAACCAACACTATCTCAGACCACAATGTGACCAACAAAGTAAGTGCAAAGTAAATAAAGTTTGCAACAATTAACAAACAGACTGAGTCTAATGTGGGTCTTCTAAAAGCAAACAAACGCCAGCTGTAAAACAAGTACATTGGCTAGAAATCAAAACTAATGTTATTTCATGAGAACTGCCTTATATATTTTGAGGGATGGCTCATACCCTTGAAAGAAAGAAAAGGCAATAAAATCCCACACTTTTTGAATACAATTCATAAAAAGACCAATCTTTCATTCATCCTATGTAATTCTTTTTTACAGACATTTRATTTATTTATTATTTATTTAGCAATTTTGTATGCCGGTCTTCTCCCCTCTATCGGGGGACTCGGGCCGGTTTCCAACAATAAAATCACAAAACAATCATTAAAAACATCATATAACATATTCAATTAAAARMTTARAARAGCAAAATGCAATCACATAATAACAATGGTCAGTCGTCATAGTGAATTCGTTGTCCATCATTCATCYTCATCTATCCGATCACAGAAATATTGATTCACTCATTGAAAYCCAAACCCCATAGCCAGGTTTTCACRCGTTTTCTGAACGACAGAATGGAGGGGGCGGTCCTGATCTCCAGTGGGAGAGAGTTCCAGAGTCGAGGGGCCACCACCGAGAAGGCCCTGTCCCTCGTCCCCACCAAACGCGCCTGAGAGGCCYGTGGAAGCGAGAGCAGGGCCCCTCCAGACGATCTTAACAACCTAGATGGTTCATAGGGGAGAATACGTTCGGACATTACAGGGGAAGTATGAAATAAAAAGGAAGGGGTTCTCATCCCATTAGAGATTAACCATTAACCTAAGGTAAGGTCATACTCCACAGCCTTGTAGTTCCACAGAAAGAACGCAACAACAGAGGAAGCTGCCTCAGACAGAATCAGGCTTTTGGTTCCTCTAACCTAGTCTGGCCAACAGTGTCTGGCAGCAGTTCTCCAGAAGGTCAGGCAAGAGTCTTTTCTAGGAGATGCCAAAGATTGAACCTGGGGTCTTTTTTAGGCCAACCACATGCTTTATCATGGTGTGCCCAATGGAAGGGTGGCCGTATCTCTAACAGCAGTGCACTATTATTATTTTCTGCACGTACAGCTTATGAAGCATTGGCAAAAATGCATCTTCTGAAATTGCCCCTGGAGTCCAGCTGTTGCAAAGTATAATGCCTCTTCTCACTAGTGTCTGTATTCACCTCCTACTTCCATAAGCTCTACTTCTATTGGTCCATGGCTGGATAGTGGAGAGACAGTATACAATCATATGTACATTTTTCTGAGAGAACACATCACTGAACCCAGTTCACTATACTTCTGTACAACAAGTATAGGATCATGCTCACTGAGGAGCAATACTATTAGAACCAATAACAGCAGCAGGAGTGCCATTAATATTATTAGTGGAACACAGGAACAAATCAGGAACTGCTCAGAATACTGCATACCTTGGCTATACCCAGTGGACCAAGGAGGCAAATATGGACAAATTAGAGATGAAAAGGAAGCATGAGCAAAGGAATAAATAAACAGAATCTGAAACTGAGTGAAATGAGGAAGAAGTAACTCAATAAGAGAAATTAAAAGTCGGAAAGATGTTTACATGGCAACAAAATAATTATATGGGAAAACATATTGGGTAGAGAAAAGAAAGAATTGTTTTAGTATTGCAACAACTGGAACAAAATATTGGTCAAGGTGAGCAGAAAGAAAATGACTGATATTAATGCTGTTCTTCAAGTTTGAATAAATAAATCATTAACATGGTTTGCATGCAGGTCAAGACTTGGTCCCTTGCATCTCCAATTAAGAATGGATTTTGTATCAAATGATTGGAAAGATTTTTGCCTGAGCTCTTGGACAGCCTTCAAAACAGATCATACTGAGCTACATGCACAAATAGTGAGACCCTGTATAAGTCAGCTCCTTATGCATGCAGAGAAGACAAAGAAAGCAGAGGCTCAAAGAGTAATTATCTGGAAAGTGGAATAATTGCACAAAGAAACAGGAAATGTGCTCTTAACTTACATGTTTTGATAGGTCAGGGCTCTTGGAGTCCACATCGTAACTGCAGGGAAAGTAAGCAGAAATCATTTGTCACATTTTAGCCATATAGAATGGGAATGTTTTGCCCTCTGCAGAATCAGAGCAGTACCAAAGAAAAGGCAATCTAGACCTTTACAGAAAGCTTAATTTCTCTACATAGTGTTTTACACTGAGTTGAGGAAATCAATTAAGTAGGGCATATGATCTTTGAAAGAGCCAATATGATGTAGTAGCTTGAGTGTTGGACTATGATTTTGGAGACAAGGGTTCAAATCCCTGCTCAGCCACGGAAAACCACTGGGTGACTCTCAACCCATAATAGGGATGGCTTAGGGTTGCCATATCATGGTCTCTAAGTCTATATGTCCACCATCAGACAAAAGCTGAAATAGATGTTATTAAATAGCAAGGTTTTTCCTAAGTCAAAGTCCAATTGTCATGTGTTTTTCCAACTTGAAATATGAATGCTCTTAAATAAAGACAATTGGGCAATAAAAGGGTCATTTCCAGCTTCTCCTAACTCTGTGTGAACATACTTGCTGCCAATTTGGAGAAGTGGAAGTGGTGAGCCAAGAAGTCACCTCCAAATGTCTGGAAGGGCAATTTTCTGCTTTCACAAAATCTAGTCCAACCCCTTGCCATGCAGAAAAAGCACAATCGAAGTACCCCTGATAGATGGCCACCCAGCCTCTGTTTAAAAGCTTCCAAAGATGGAGCTTCCACCACACTCTGAGGCAGAAGGTTCCACCGCTGAATAGCTCTTACAGTCAGGAAGTTTTTCCTAATGTTCAGGTGGAATCTCCTTTCCTGTAATTTGAACCCATTGCTCCAAGTCCTAGTTTCCAGGGCAGTAGAAAACACACCTGTTCCCTCTTCCTTGTAATATCTTTTACATGTTTATACATGGCTATCATGTCTTCTCTCAACCTTCTCTTCTGCAGGCTAAACATGCCCAGTTCTTTAAGATGCTCCTCACAGGGCATAGTCTCCAGACCTTTGATCACTTTTAGCCCTTCTCTGGACACCTTCCAGCTTGTCAGTGTCTCTTTTAAACTGTGGAGCCCAGAATTGGACACAGTATTCCAGGTGAGGTCTAACCAAAGCAGAGGACAAAGGCACCATGACTTCCTTTGATCTAGAGACTATACTCCCTTTGATGCAGCCCAAAATCCCATTGGCTTTTTTAGCTGCTGCATCACACTGTTAGCCCATGTTCAGCTTGTTGTCCAGAACAATGAATGAATGGCAGATCTGTTGTTGTTGTTATTGTTGCTATTGTTGTTGTGGGTCTTCAAGCAGTTTCCAACTTATGCAACTCTAAGGTGAGCATGTCATGGAATTGTCTGAAGATGTGTTCCAGATTGTCTTAAATCTCCAGTTAGAGCTAGAGAGCGTGAAACCTCAGGGAGCTCTAGACAGATAGATTTGCCAATACATGGTTATACAACATCTTTACAATAGTCTAACTCAGTACAAGGCCACTTTTAAAAAATTTAAACTTGGGGTAAACTTTGGTGCTTTGCATTTACCCTCTAAGACATTTTCAATGTCAGAACCCTTTGCATGAGGTCTGGTAAGCAAGCAGAGCTTGCTAAGTAAGGAGTCACTTTCTAACACCAATTTCAGCCCATAACAGTGCATAAATTGAAAAAGAAAACTGATAAACACTCTCCTGATAAGACAATAATGCTGAGATTAATTGGAATCATTGCTGCCCTTGGCGTGCTGAATGAAAAAAACTCTGCTGAATTTCAATACAGTTGGGGCTCCCTTTTCCATTTACAGATCCCAGCTAGAGCCAAGCACATGCTTCTTCTTCAGCAAGCCATCCCTGCTGAGCAGCATTATGGTACTCAAATCAAATCCACTATAAGCAGGTTTTGAGATTCCTTTCACATCACCTCCACACCCAAATTCAAGTCTCTAGGATCCACAGAGTCAAGCTGCCACTTACAGATCAAAACGCAGATTCTGCTTCTCTTCAAAAAAGTAATCAAGGATGAACTTGCGCAGAAAGTCTGGATTCAAGGTATTGTCGATCACTTCTGTTCTGCCAAACTAAAAAGAGAGGAAACAGAAAATGAGAAAAAGGGGGAGATCAGCAGGATTGCAAAAAAAAAAAAAGTTAGGGATGGAAGAACCTTTCAAATTTTCTCTGTGCCACATTCAATTTTCTTATAATCTCGAGTCATTTACATTTCTATTTCTTTTTCTTTTTAAAAAAACCTATTTTGGTCAATTATTCAAAAGTGGATTGAAAGGAACACCTCTATCCCCAATTTACCTTGGTCAAATTCAATATGTATTCTCATTATAGAATGTGTCTCGTTTCACCAGCCCGCCATGTTGCTGTCAAGGACAAAGAGCCTCTCAGCAAAAAGAGTTGGCAAATCTAGCTGAGCACTAACATGGCCAAACATACAGGGATTCACACCCAGACATTTAAGAGTTAAGCACTCAAAGCACGACATCTGGATGGACATGTGTAACAATTTTGAGTTCTCTAATGGAAAAAATGTTGAGTTATTTCAAATGAAGGAATTTAATAATCTGGGCAAATTCTTATAAAAATAACTCAAAACAAAATTCTTACTCATCACTATAAGCACCATGAGGGCTCAAAGAAAAATTGTGTATAGACTGCTGTGGAATGAAAACTCAGTGGTTGGTCTCTACTTCTGGAAGCATAAAGACTAGCTGCAATTCACATCCAGCTATCTTGGTTTCACCATTGTCACATCATATCCATTAATTCTGCATCCATGGATACAAACATCCACAGCTGGAAATATGGACATATACCTATAGATTAAATTCAAAACAGAAACTTGTGTTTTGCCATTTTTATTAGGGGCATTTTATTATGCCATTGAATATAATGAGACTGGGGGATCTATAGAATCCATGTGAGGACCTGGAACCAAATCCCAATAGATACCAGAGCCATGTGTATATGCTGTGCTGGGTAGTAGTTTGCTCTTGAATTGAATGATGAATCTGCTTCAGGTATTCATCAGAAGGAGTTATGCATGGAGATAAAGCCTGTCCCCTAAATAGCTTTAGCACCATGGATAGCACCTGTAAAGACTAGATCCCAGAGCAGATTCATTGTACCTTTGACTTTTGAACCATCAGACACCACTGTTTATATGCTTTGGCGAAAGCCATATTTTGCCATTCGGAATGAATCTATAAATAGATTTCCTGCAGTCTGAAAAAAGACTCTGTGTTCCTCCCAGCTACTAAGTAATAGTACAAAAATTATGCTTCAATTAACTTTTTAACCTTAGCACAATCTAAAATTAATCTCTAGCTTGGCTAGTATAAACGTTATCATATTTCTCCTTATTCTCCTTCTCTGTTTACCCAGGAAGGGATGTGCTTTATCTGCAACAAGAGAAAGCTGGCCTTTCTGTTGTTTGAAATATGATCAGCCATTTCCTCGTTGATTAAAATGCTGGGTGTAATCTCTTATCTGTGGCAATTGTCTGGTGACTAATTTGCTTAGTCTATAATCTCCATCTTGGAATGAATAAAGATATATCTTTATTTCATAGTTACTGCATTGATCCATCAGATGGAATCCTGGGATTAGTAGTGTGGTGCAATGCTCAAAATTACATGCTAGAGAGCTGCCGTTCACTGCCTTGTATCACAGTTCCCAAAGTACCTGAGTATCAATCAAAATTATAAACACAATTTGATTTAATCCCAAACCTATCCTTTTTCAAGGTGTCTTGTTACCCTACAAGCACCTCACAAATCCCAAGATTTTTTAGAAGGAAGAAATAACTATTAAGATGGTATGCAACTGATACAATTCTATAGAACCTCTTGAGTCTACCCTATAAATCCTAAATTCTGGACTTTTCTGTTTCTTTCTCCACACTCTATGTTTTGTGAATTCTATATTAATGAAGAATTCTGAGACAATGGAAAGTTATGTTTGTAAAAAAAATGTACATCCTGATAAAGGTATTCCCAAAATCAGCACACCTGCTTTTGCTTTTTTAATGAGCCAACCAAAGGACACAGTTGGAAGGTACAGGAATGGTGTGACCTTTCAAAACATAATGAAGGGGACATAATTAAAAGTGAGGAAGAGTGAAGTGTAGCTTTGAAAAACAGGAAAATGGGGAAGGAAAGATTCCATACAAAGACAAGAACTTCTTGCATCTAAAACTTCCAGTTTCCTCTCTGCATGGTTAAGTGTAGTGACAAAGGACATCTGCCTTGACACAAAGCTAGCCTAGGGAGAGTTCATGAAGGCTGTGTGTTTAATTCTGTAGGTACTTCATTAAAGTAGATGTTAATTATATGTCATCAGTCCTCAGGGGTTACAGAACAACTGGGTGGATGTCCAGCACCTTCCTAAATTAATCCTAAGATACAACTCTGACTCCGAGTCACACACTTTATCTCTCTAAGAGTTAGATCGAGAGACTCTGAGCAGTCAACACAGCAATCAGGTGGGCTGTAAGTTTGGTCAAAGGGACAGAGGAAGACAGGATGTTTCCGAAGACCCCGTCTACATAGACCATTTAATGCAGCATAAAGCTAGCTTTCAACTACGATGGTCAAACAACGAACTCCCACAAAAGTGCACAAAAGGAAGTCTTTAATGCACATCAATGGTCTGTGTCATTACCATCAGAGCCACAAACTGTTTCTAGGATTTCTTATATAATCATCTCCATAGTAAAACCACTGTATTCAATACAGAAATGACAGTAAAATGGTCACTGTAGATAGGGCCAAAAGTTATAGACAAAACAATCTAGCAAAGAGGAAATTAAACTAGATCTAGCAGTAATAAATCCAGTGAGAAGAAGGAGAATTTTGGATTTTTATGAGCTGAAGGAGACAAGGAATAAGTGTCCCCTTCACATATGTCCAGGAATATTTCATCTCTGTTAAATTGCCAGCAGACTGCTCAGCCTTGAGGCTTATTACAGAAGCCAAGAGGAGATAATTGCTGAGCACCTTTTTGCTGAGTGTGTAGAAGCAGACTGGGAATTTTACATTCATAAACACTTGGGTAGTCTTCGGTTCTGCCAGGGAAATCAATGTTTAGGGCAGAGAGCATGAAAATGTTTCACCTCCTGGGCTACATAATGAGGATATCAGTTCTGAACTGATGGTGCAGAAGGCATCTGACAAAGGGAGTGGGGGATTTGATGGAGAAATACTCTGAGAATCCTGATGGAGAGGATTTTAAAGTTGAAGCATATAGCTTTTTTGTCACTGAGGGGAGTAGGGGTGGTCAGTGAACATGCGAATGCCCGCCCATTCAGGCTATCCTTCTTCATGAGTAAAAGAAGGTAGGAATCTTTATCTTTAGGAGCCCCAATGATCAGCACTAAGCATCAAATCACCGGTATCACCGGTTGCATCTTCCTGATATACAACCGATGACTATGCAGTTAAACCCAGCACACCTGCCTTACTGCATTCACATGAATGTAAAAAGGACCAACCAAGTCTTGCATGGAAAAGGGTGGAAATAATCACTTTTTTTTTTAAAAAAAAAGAACAAAATGTTAAACAACTTTCAACTATTAAAGTCATTTAAAATTTTCTGAGTGCAATCTTTGAGTGTGTCGTTCTCTTGCCATAGTTCAAAAGGAGCCTGTGACATCGCAAAACTGTTTCAAGTACTCATGACAATAGCAGCACCACAAAGAGGGGTTTTTTTTTGTCACATGCCATAGTTTGCAACTGGAACTCTATTAAAGTGTATTTCTTCATTTGTTAGCAGCAGATATCTTGTAACCAAAGGAACATGACAGCCTACCACATATAGCTTCCAACATTAAAAACAAGCAAACAAATGTTTGTCCATAATCCTACAATCCTGTACATTCAATTGCTGCAGATTTTAGGAAATATTACTCTTTACAGATTCATAGAATTATCAAGTTGGAAGAAACACACAATCAAAGCACTCCTGACAGATGGTCATTAAGCCTTTGCTTAAAGACCCCTAGAGAAAAAGACTCCACCACACAGCTCTTACTGTTGGGAAGTTCTTCCCAATGTTTAGGTGGATTCTTCTTTCATGCCATTTAAATCCATTCCTACCAATCCTAATCTCTAGAGCAGCAGAAGACAAACTTGCCCTCTCCTCAATGTGACATTCTTTCCAATATTTAAACATGGCTTTCATGTCCCATCTCTTCTTCAAACTAAAGACACACAGCTCTCAAAGCCATTCCTTACAGGACTTGGTTCCCAAACCTTTGATCTTATTGGCTGTCTTTTTCTGGACAGATTCTACCTTATCAATATTCTTTCTGAATGGTGGTGCCCAGATCTGGACACAGTATTCCACGTGAGGTTCGACCAAAGAAGAATAGAGTAGGACTGTGACTTCCCTTGATCTAGACCAGTGATTCTCAGCCTTTGGTCCTCCAGGTGTTTTGGACTTCAGCTCCCACAATTCCTGAAAACTGCTAAGATGGTTGGGATTTCTGGGAGTTGAAGTCCAAAACACCTGAAGAACCGAACACACTATACTCCTTTGGATGCAGCCTAGAATTGATACAGCATTGGCTTTTCCAGCTGCCACAAGACACTGTTGACTCATGTTCAGCTTATGGTCTACCAAAACTTAGACCTCTTTCATGTGTACAATTGTTAGTACAATCATTTCAAGAATCACCCAGCCAACATCAGGATTGTAAGAACTATAGTGTTAAAATGTACCCTTTCCAAGTTCTGCTAACCATGTGCTACTTTGCCTCAGAACTGATATTGGAGGTTATGTTCAGGAAAAGGAACTACTTCACACATATAAGAAAGCAAGCAGATCTCCTATTTTTTAGAGTACAAAGCAGGAGAGTGGTGCTATTCCTTTCCTCCATGACCTCTGGAATAACATGCATTGCAGGCAAGAGTGTGAGTTGTTAAGGTATCAGTCTGTGGTGTATTTTGTCCTTCATTCTAGCTCATTTGAACAATGTGCTGACTAGATGCCTTCACAGTAAAAAAAAATCATTATCTTTTGAGATCACATGAACAAGAAGAGGCAGAAAGTGGGAAAGAATTCAGAAGCAAAT